AGACTTCAATTCTGATGCTGAATTGGGGCTTAGTGAGATCTTCTCTAGGTTCTCTGACACTTGAGGTGACTTAAATGTTATTCACTACTCTAGTGTAAACTGATATTCAGTGTTTTACAGAAGTATTTTTTTTACCCCAAATACTGATTGAACAGCAGTTTATCATTAAATCAGGCTATTCTGGATACACAAAGCATTAGGTCTAGGTTTAAATGTGGGGCATTCATAAAGGCACTAAGGCACTCAGAAAGAAAATTAATCTTGAATTTGATGCACATAAAAATGCATTCATACATGAACCTCTGTGTCTGCGTGTTGTAATTGTACATAGGTGTCTTTGGCTGTGGATTTGTACCTCACTGAAGTTTCTCATGAAAGGCAACTTTCTCAGCATCTCAGCAAAAATTAAAATTAAATACTGTGGAAGAATATCCTAATGAATGAATTTGGACAACTTGGAAACCTTGATGCAAGAAGGCTGTGGCCTTCACTCTAGAACCTGTTTGCAGGTGGTTCAAAACAAGGATTTTAGGTGGAGACTAATTCCAAAATCTGTGTTCCAGGTGCTCCATCTGCTGAGTAGGTAATTGGACATTTCTGGATCATTGAGGGGGATGTGCAGTGGTACTCTGGTTAACCTTTGGTGGGTTAATGAATGTGGTCATTGGTAAGGTCAACTTTTTTCATGGAAATGTGTCAACCTGGAACAGCCTTCCTGATACTGTGGAAGGGAGAGATACCCCTGGTGTTTCCTTGGCAGTCTGTCAGAGGCTCTGTTGGAACCGGCTACTCTGCTTCTTTGGATTATTCTTTAGCAAATAAAAAAATATCTCTTGCCATCATTTTAATAAGTACTTCAGGTTTTGGCTTTTTGAGGTTCTCACATAATTTTGGAAGAAGAATTTCAACTTTTCAATCACATTGCTACCAGGCATTTTTGAAAGGTTTAATTAGACTTTTTCTGCTGTACTACTGACCCTGTTCCTAAATAGGAACTAAATTTAATATCAGCTTTTCTAATGGGAAACTACTTTGAGTCATTAGCAAATCTGTTTCTTTCCATTTTCCTACAAAGACAACCTAAGTTGAGGCAATTATATCTGTCAGATGAGTGGGAAAGTTTAAAGCGTTTTTAAGGACAAAAGGGTTTTCTAGCTTTTTCCCAACATTGCTGTATAAGTTCATGTCAGATTTTTCTCTCTTAACTTAGCTTATTAATCTGCTGGTGTGGCTTTTTTTTTTTTTTTTCCTTCATGTGATCCATTTGCAGTAGAAGCTGCTTTTATACTTCAGGTGTTGAAGGGTCTGTGGAGGAGGGTTTTTATGTTCATAGGGCAAGATCATATACTGAGATCTGCCAAGTGTTCCAAGGGGCTCGCTGGTGCAGCAGGGAAGGTTTATCCCTGGAGAGCTGTTTATGTATGAACTTGCTAGGAAATAACCAAGACAGAGCCTCTGATTTAAATAGGCCTTAAGGAGTGGTCAGTTCACATCAGTGGTGTGTGTTTGCTCTGTCAGTAACTAAGATTTATGTGATGCTTGCCTGGAGCTGTTTTCACACTTACCTTGTGCTGAAGCAGTGGAGTGCCATTTGTAATTACTGATGAGCATAAGTAAGAGTCAGGTAGGGAACATGAGTTCTTTTTGAGACACGGAGTTCTTTTTGTGATAATGTGCATGTTTCCAAACAGAAACTCACTTTGCAAGTCAGTACACGTTGTGTTGTTGTCCGTGCTGCCTGAGCTAGTGGCAGTCCACTGGCTTCAGTTAGTGCCTCAGCAGAGACACTTTGCCTAGCTGAACTCTTGAGGACAAGATTTTGCACCATGAGTAATCTTATTAAAGTAAGATTGCAAACACTTAAACAATATGAGCTTGCACATGAGCTTGTTCAAAGCTAATGAGGTAGAAACTAAATACTTTCATACGCATGAGGTTCAGTGTCTGACTTGGACCTTTTAAAGTTCTCTTCAGGGACATCTTGTGCCTCAGGAGAGATGTCAGTGCTAGCAGGGGCCATGTTTCTGAGGGCACCAGCACTGCTGCACAGCAGGAGCACAGTTTAGCCATCGCCTTACCAGTCTGTTTAATGGTTGTTTAGTGGAAGAATGATAAAATGTGACATTATTGAATTATACTCCCCATCTGTGCTGCTTGTTCCACTGCAGTTACTTCCCAGGCCTGCTTCTTCCCCACACCAGGTATCTCTCCTGTACCTCTTCTCTGCCTGCCCAGCCCCAGGCACTACCTCTCATGCTTATCCCCTTCCACACACCCTGCTGTTAGACCTAATCTCTCTTTTTGAGCTTCATCATAAACCCAGTTGCTGCCTGTGGTTCCCTATTTAGGAACTCTTCTTCCCTGCTGGGTTCTTGCCTGTACTGCTCCTTTACCCTGTTTGGTTTACACACAGCCCATCCCTGTTCCCTCCTGCCTCTGATCTACCCTCACACATTTCCAGCCCAAAAGTCTGGGAAGTCGAAGATTTTCAAAGAGAAGCTAATTATAATTTTTTGCAGATAGATTAATACAGGTTTTCTCCATTTCTCAGAGTTACCCGAAATTATTTTGGTGGGGGGTTAGTAAACTGTTCTCACTAATTGTGATGTTCACAAAAAAAAGCAGTAGGCTGGAAATACTTGCCGAACCTCAGTTAATTTTGCAGCGCTACAGGCACCTAAAAGCATTGTTTTATAATGGCACTGTTTGATAACCATTTCAAGTGGCTGACACCAGCCTGTGGGCAGGCCTGGCTTCACAGCCCAGCAGCAGTGGTTTGCCATAGTGAATGTTTGTCACTGTAATTCCTCTACAAATTATCTGGAGCCAGGATTTTCTAAAGTGTTTAAGAGAACAGGGTGCACTCAGCCATCACTGGGTTCTGAATTAAAATGGGATTTAAACATCACTGCTTGAAAATCCAGGTTTTAAGATTGCAGATTGGTACTTCCTTTGAATAGCCTTTCTATTTAACCAGCACATAAATCTATGTGGTTGTACATTGAGGTGAAAATGATTTATATTATATTCATACTTGTATTTTTCATAATCTTTCACTGTGCTTCCTGCTGCTTCATACTAAACAAGCATTTAATGCAAAAGAAAATGCTCTATCCCTTTATATAAATCTAGTACTTTTAATATACATTTATAGTGAGACCCAGTATCATGGCTGTCACACTGACACAAGATTACCTCTAGACAAAAAAAGAGACAGGTCAACCAGAGACTAACTTTTATTGTGCATTTTTATGCAACAGAACAAATGGAACTGGAGGTATGTAGTAATAAAACCAATATTCAAATTAGAATTAACACCTGAAATATTAACCTGTAGGTAACAAATGTCTTTATAATTAAAAAATATTGACTGTTTAAAAAATTCTCTAAGATTTTATATTCTTTAAAAGAAATGTGTGTTGCCACATAGAAAACAATTCACACATCCTATAGAAATTGTCACAAAAACCTTACTAGTCTATATTACACTATGCACTTTTCTTTTGTACAATATCTGATAAAGGCCTATCCCTAACCTGTACTTACTCTACACAGTACAATCATCATAAGAAAGTATTCATAGAATTAACTACACCATAACAATAAAAATATCAGGATTAACGTTTTTTTTTTTAATCACAGTTTCTCCACAAATATTTGTCATAGAAAATATAGCGAAGGCATGTTGGCACAGATGGGCGTGCGGTGCTGCTACACAAGGTTTGAGAGAAGGCAGATACATAAATGACAGGAAGATTAAAGCCTATGGAAGGATAAGACAAGAATCTCTATCCTCCTGGGACTTTCTGGAGTGACATGATAGATAGCAGTTTCCTTCTGTCGCTGGGAAGGGATGTGCTGGCTTACAAAGCACACTGCCTAAATATGGATATCTCCCTCTGCAAGGGCTTATGTGCTATCTATTATTTCAGGTCCCATATCTAACATATTGCAGATATTTAGATGCTTCAATGTGTCTGAATTTATAACACCTAGTGAACAAATTAACTGGAATAAGTTGTTGTGCAAGGTTTGGGATTTTAAAAATGGAATGTGGGGGTCAAGTGGCCATGATGGCAATTCAAAACAGACAACTGACAAAAGTTTTTATACTCTCTTATTTTAAAGCCAAACATGAACAAAAATATAAGCTGGTGTCTGTTAATGCCTGTCTGTGACCATGATTCATGTCACTGGCCAGTGCACATAAGCAATTGAGGACAAAATTTTGTTCATAAAGAAAGATCCAAACCTGTAAAGCCATTTCTACTATCAAAGTGGCTTTCAGGATGAAATTATACTTTTGGTTATTTTGCACAATGAGAGTAGAGGATTGTGAGTGGTTCTGGGATGCTGGCTATGCTTTTTACACTAAAAATAAAGCTAGGCTTACTAGTTATTTCAGCAAATCTTTCAGTTATTAAGTGAAAGGTCTGTCCAGTTCAGTAATTCTGTTCTGTGACTGTTAAAAAGTGTTTATATCTTAAACATCATACAATAAAGCATCTGAAAGGAAACCATCACAATGTTTACAAAAATACAGCATGATACATATCGCTGTGGACAAATTTACAGTATAATGTTGACTCACACGTTCTGACATGTTTTACCAAATAGTTCTGGCATGTGTCACCACATTAAACATAGACCAGCAAGACTTACACCATCTGAGCAATGTAACATCTTCTATTATAGTTCTTTTTAAAAAGTGTAAGTTCAACACCAAAAAGCTACTATAGGATATCTGTATTGTGACATTTCTATACACTGAATTTCTCCTCCAAGGGCCACCATGTGATGTGACCACTCCAAGAAAGTCACCTCCTGCCTGTGATGAAGGAATGCTGCTCTAAACCCCTTGGTCTAGTGAGGTCCTGTGTGACTAAACTGCTAGTTGACTTTTAGAAAGTAAATTAACTATTTTGGGGCCAGTGAGTATCTTTCAACCCCCTTTCAAAAAAATCACCAAAATGGAAAGTGAGTTAAAGTGAGAGGTATTGGACATTTGAGGGCCTAAAGCATATGGGGACAGAGCAAGGTCCTCTCTATGGCAGTGCATGGTGAGCCCATGTCCTGAGATGCCCCAGAGGCCAGGAGAGAGCAGTCACAGGGAACCCACAGGCAGAGGGGAGGCAGAGGGCAGGAAGGAGCTCCTGTGTGGGTGAGCTGGACTTGGAGCCTCAGCCCTGTGGCCAGGCTGGGTTTTGAGGAGTGCTGCACCCCAGAGAGCCCTTCCTGGTCTCTGGGGAAGGGTCCAGTGCCTCCTGCCTTGCCTGGTGCGTGGGCAGAAGGTGGGGAAGGGGAGGAGAAGGGTGAAAGGAGCCATTAGTAGCTATGCTTGTGGCTTGCACAAGGCGGTGAGGAAAGCTGGGGAGTATGAGAGAAGCGTTCAGGAGAGCCAACGCTGATGAGGTAGCACTAAGGATGGACAAAAGTGGAGTGAGCTTTCTTTCCAAAAAACCAGTTCCCTCTACCTGCCAGTGGGGAAATGTTGCCTCAGGAAGTGCTGGTTCAGGCTATGGAGGATGCCAACACTGGCCTGAGAGAGCACACAAAGGTAAGGAAATGGAAACAACCTGATGTGGAAAGGAAAGAGCAGCGTTTCTTTGGCATTGCATATTTCTGGCGTGGATCAATTTAGAGGGACAATGGACTCCTAAACATTTAAAATTAAACTTTTTTTTTTGTGGATTGACATTTTTTTTAAAGCTAGTATCTGCTTCCAATGTTGTACACCATTGTGAATTCTGCTCCAACAGCTCCTTTCTTACAGCTCTCAGTCTGGATCCTATGTCTACTTACTACAGAACAATAAACCAGGTTCTTCTTGCCCAACCCCTCCCTGAATGCAACACTGAGCAAAACCAGCACGTTGCCTCACCTCTTTCAAGGAATGGATATAAAACACAAATTAAAGTGAAAACAAGAAAAGGCAATTTAAAGCCTCTAAAGCTACGTAATATGGCTGCAGAATAGGAACAGACAAAGGAAAATCTGTCTTCTGAAATGGCAATTTGTTTTTAGCAATCTTTTCTTAATGAAAACTGTCATGATCAACTCTAATCCTCTAGAAATCTAGATAAATATACTGTCTATCTGATATACAATGCAATTTTTATCTGTTAGAAGTGCTTGCTATTGTTCTGGGTCTTTGAAGGATTCTGCTGTTGATGAGTACTGCTGTTTTACTGGGGAAGCTTAATTTCCTGACAGATTTGGCTAAGAAAGTCCCTGGATTTCCTATCTTGTGTGGTATTTTAAGGTAGCATTTATAATTATGTTCTTTTCTGTTAGCAAATGGGAAACAACTTTTTTTTGTTGTTGTTGTAAGTGTGCAGACTTGTACTTAAATCTTCTAGTCAGGGAAATCAAATAGCACCCAGCTGTTCCGAGTCCAGGCCTAGGATTGTTATCAATAGGCTGAAGAGATAGTAGCTGCTGTTTCTTTTGACATTTTTATAGTTTTTAAATGATCTTTCCTCTACAACTGGATGAAATGAACTGCACATTCTCTTTGAGTGTGCTATGAAGAGTTTGGAAATAATAGGCACTGAGAAGTCCCATAAAGCAGGTCTTGAAATGGATTTCTTTCTGTTAACTGGGATATGGTAGGATGGAGAAGCTGGAATGTATGCAGTACGTGTTCAAACATGCTTTGGATTCCTAAATGACAGCAGGGTTAAGCATGTTTAACAAACAGTCTCTCCTAAATTAAGTGGTTGCTACTGTTGTGTGATGTGGTTGTCACTGCCATCAATCTCCAGATCCATCTTGCATACCTCTGTTGAAGACTTCATCCTGTGACGGGGGGTGGTCAGTCCCTTCGTAGTAGGAGTGGCCGTTGTGAAGGAAAGTCCCCACGGCGCGGCCCTGGCGCGCGTGTCCCACGGCGTCACTGAACACCTTGTTTATCTGCTCCTCAGAGGGCATCCACCAGTCCGGGTTGGAGGTGCAGTGCATCCTAATGAACTCTGCAGCAAAACATGCAAGGATAAAATGCGACTTGTCTTTGCAGCGTCTGGTATTGCCCAGGTGTCAAAAGCTCATGGGAAATAAGAAAGGAGGTATTGCTGCTCCACTTAAGCAGAAGTAAAGCCTTATGGGGGATGCCATGATAATGCCACTTGGACCTGCTTGATTTCTGCACAAGTGTGTTTCTCCACATGCAGTGTATGTTGTTACACCTGAGCTGTCTATGTGACTCATGGGACCTGGATATAAAATCCCTTTTTGTGGAAATACAAAGAACTAATTTGAAGTGAAGGCTGTGATTCAGCACGTGCAACACGTGTGGAAGCTAACATGAGCCAGGACATAATTCATTAGAAAACTGTTGGTGTCTATACCTCAAGGTGATTGTGTTGGATCTTTCTGACCTCCCTCTGCTGGCTCCTTCAGCACCTGCAGGGGCCCCCAGCCTGCTGGAAAATGTCACTGCCATTACTGCAGTTTGGTGCTCCTGTCTGTTTGGGATATCTTTCCTTTTAAGTTCTGCTATTTTCATCCCCCTGTATTTTACACCTATTTTTTCAGAGAATAATTTGGCCTTAGAAATAGCTAAATGAGATCAGAGGGCTGATTTTGGGAGCCTTGCAACACTTTCCAATGCAGGAGAAAATGAATTGTACTGCATGTATTTTAGCTATTTATATAGCTGGTGCTGCCACATACAGCTATTTGTATGTGATGATTGCATTTTTTATAATTTATTTTTCTGATTCTTTGACGTGCTATATGCTAGACTTGCAGAAGGTGCCCTGCCAATTCTGGAGTTGTAACAGCTAGACATAGCTGAAATAGGTGTATTTGGACTTTGAAACATCCAAATATGATTTTAAATGTGAGGGCATCTTATTAGAGATATTGGATACACTGTACCTCATATAGAAACTGAGCTGCTTATTTATTCTGTAACATTAGTTATTCCCTCATGCAGAATTGTGTGTCCCAGGATATTTTTAAATTCTATTTTCTACTGTTGACAAGCCAACAGCACAATAAGTGTTGTAAGGTAACTTCATTACTGTCACCACATCTCCAGACAGGGAAAGCTGTGCTTTTACATGAGTTCCTGTGCCTGCAAGGTATCTCATCTATTGGACAATTAGGATGTGATTTTTGCATAGCTCCTCCAGCAGTGTTTCTGCAAAAGAGATAGCAATCTCTGTTTTAAATTCATTTCCCTGGAAATCCACACAGGCAACAGTAATTCCTATCTGGTTATGTTCACATGTGCCCCCACACACTTGTCTCTTTCTCAGAGAAATGGTTACCACATAAAGAAGTAATGCTATAATTTAAGCATGCCAGGATGTTTTAAAATTGGTTCCATACACCAGTCAGTTGTAGGAGTATATTAAAAATGTTTATGTACATATATTTAAACTCTGAGTGCAGACAGAGAACCAATTTGCACTCTCTGCTTTGGTGGAAAGGCATAATTAGCTGGGTTGAGAATTAGTCAGACACTTGTTACCTTGATTTGTAAATGAGCAGGAGCTAGTGGCCAACTCTCAGCACTGGAGAAAGTTGTCATGTTCCCACCTACGCATGGGAGCCCGAAGGGAGAGCTGTCTACTCTGCTTTCTTAGCTGGTCATTACATACTGTATGTTTTGACTTCCTCTTCAAGCTTCTGAAAATTAAAGAACTACCCTTTCTCCTAAGGATTGCTCCCCACATTCTGTGTGTCCAAGACCTCAGAAAAGAGAGTGTCCACAAGCAAAATTCCATGTACAGGTGAATTTCCTATTAGTTTTGAGAAGCAGGTGAGAGAAAGGGGAAGAAAAGGGCATCAGCACTGTGCTTGTGCATAAATTATTAGGTGATAGTTAAAGTAACTTAGTAAATTCTAAAGTACTTGTATCCAGCCTTCAGGAGAACTTCTGGGGCCCTGAATCTCTCTCTCTAGATCTCTGCAGCATGGTGTGCAATGGACTTGCCCTTCCATTTAGCTCAGATAGATAGAGTTCTAGTAGAGTATCATACAGCAGCTTAAAAGATTATTTTGTCGTACAAAAAGAGTTGTTTTCCTAATTTGTATGTAAAATACGAGTTAATTACCTGGTTACATCAATGTACCCTAACCACAAGTCTTATCTACTTAGCCTTGTTGGATTCGTCTACCCTAAATGGGAAGAGGCCCATATATCTGATGTGTATAGCCACTTTAGACTCCAGTTGAATGAGTGAAGATATTTTTATCACTGACTCACCACAATATAGCTTTTTACATTGCATTGATTAGTAAGACATTCTTGAGGTTAGTTCAACCAAAATTTCATGTATGTGCTCAAAAAATACTATAAAGTTAACTATGAGTTAAAGAAATAATAAGTATATGCATTTATACAATGTAGATGTTGAAACTAGAAACGTATTTTTACTTTGGCTTTTAAAAGCCATTTTGTATGTTTTATTATAAATCTTGTTACCAGCCTTTTCAAACAATTTTAGAAAGCTAAAGTACACAACATTCTTTTCAGTCTGTACCCTTTCTGTGCAATATCCTCACTCTCTGACATTGTGAAATGCTTGCAAAACTCCCATTTCAGGCTAAACATGGGGGAAAGTTGTTCCCCAACGTTTTCAGGCAATGTTGCATCAGTATGCCAAAAAATAAGTTAAATTCTTGACAACACGCTTATGTGCATTTTGTAATTAACCTGGAGATGTTCTTGACCCTAGAAGATGTTTTCAAACCTACTCTGAAACACAGCTTTTAACCCCAATGATGCACTGTGTTCTTGTGCATCATACCCTTATAGACGTTAGATTAACTAGTCCTTAGGTTAGTTTGCTATGTATTGGTGTTAACAAATGACCTGAGTTTATTATAAAAGAGTGTCATCAGGAATGTCTGGTTTTGCTTCACTGCTTTTTAAAGTGTATTAGTGTCATGTGTCCTTGCATTTGGGTCCCCTCTTAAAAGCGAGGCCTTGTTTTTTCCCATCAAAAACACCCAAAACACATAAATTATACATACATACATACTTGTATGTATGTATGAAAAGAAAGTGGAGGGTTTCTGGGTGCCTGTCACCTGCCTGTGAAACCCCTTCTAGTTCTGCAACTGTCAGCCAAATGCTTCTACTGAGCCAGAGCCAATGTGGTGAAATGAGATCACATATGGTGGACACTGAGCGAAAAGATGCAGTACCTCTGAGACATGTTACTTTAACTGGATCCAGAGGACGTCTTTCAGGACCTGTCTCTCCTGACTGCACTGACCTTTTCCTTTTTCCAAGGCCGCATGAGTACTTAAGCTCATCGGTTGTGAAAACAAATCTGATGAGATAGCGAAGGAGCCGTCGTCCATCTTTCTTGGAAGAATTTACAGCCTCATCCCACTGTTTACTAGTGATGTAGACAGGGTAGTTGTTCAGCAACTGCTTACTCCCCTGAAAAAGTGAAATATTTCTGTTGCTTATTTTACAAGGCAAATAAGGGAAGATGTCAGTTGCAATAAATAGTTTTTAACTATTCATGATACTGACAGTGAAACACAACCCAAAGTGAACACGCAATTGCTCTTACAGAGAGTGAGTGCTTCTAAAATTACATTTCCATTTTCTAGAACTCAGATTGAGTGAGGTACAATGAATATGTTTTGAGAGGCGTAGCTATTGATAATTTCCACTTTCACAAGCAGGTTAAAAAGAGTTAAGAATCAGCAACTGGGCATATTATTTAAGTGTAATGTTTCTTCTTAATATGGTAAAATGCATAAAAAGGGTCTTTGAAGAGCGTGATCAAATGGATCGCATCATCACAGCTGATAGTTTCCTTCAGAGGTGACTCTTTTGGTCTATTTTTATAATAAATTTATTACTTTTGTAGAACACACCTGAAACTTGGCAGCAATTATGTTACTGTAGAAAATGCAAAGAAAATAAATAACGGAACTATGAAAACTAAAAGCTTCATTATTATTAATGAATGCTGTATTAACTCAAATTATAGCTTTAAAGAAATGCCACTGTGTCAGCTGGAAAGAAATTTTGCATTTAACCTTCATAATTTGTGTGCTTCAAAATTCCAACATTAAATGAATGCTGTGGGACTAATTATGGGGATTCCTGTAATCCACACACATTGATAAGCCCTCTTAAGTCAATTGTACCTAAATTGTATTTAATTCTTGTTGCCCATGAAATGCTATAGTTCAGGATTACCCAATTAACGTAAGATGGTACTGTTAATACACTTGAAATAATTGAAGTACACAGTAAAAACCCAACCACACCCTCCTAGAGACTCATTCACTTTTACAGCTGCACCTCTTTATCAAGACATATAACTCTGGAAGCCCAATTAGTGAACTCTTTGTGTAGCCCTGAGGTTCCACAGGAGCTTGCAATGAGCCAGAGAAACACAAGTTTGATGCTCACCCACATGCTGCACTTGTGGGCAACTGCTGCAAAGCTCTCATTTCCAGGCCTTTGATATCTGAAAACTATTTTAAGGACTACCCTTGCCTTCTTTCATATATTTATTAGAGCATCTTGGGAGACAGCTTGAGAGCATCTTTGAAGTTTTTCCTCAGGTATTTGCTTTTAATTTTTTGCAAGTTTAATAAATATATGTAAGATTGAATTTAGTGAAGACTGTGCTGAGATTATCATTAGAATAATCTGTATGATCTAGTCACACCACCTCCCAGTGGGGTTAGCATCACTGGGAGCTCAGTGATGCTAAATGTGTGACTGTCTGCTACTTGCTTGCCTTGCTACAAGCTGCTGACAAAGGCAGCTACAGACAAATCCAAAACTCTGCAAAGCAAAGTCAAAGTGTAAGGGGAGAGATGGGCTTTGTCTGTCTAAAGGGCCACTCCTCCCCAAACACCTCAACACTTCACTCATTCCACTGTAGCTGTAAATTCAAGCTTGTAACCCCTAAGAGAAAACCCTTCACCTATAGTCTAGCCCTGTTACAATTTGGGGCTTTCTCTTTGCAATTCATTATCTCCTCACGTCACTGTAAACAGGCCAGGGTCAATTCCTGCCTCTCCATTCATGGCAGCTGCCTTAGTTTTTGCCCACTACATGAACCCCTGGGAAGTCAGTAATAAACCTGAAGAGCTCTGCCATGGAAGAACATTACAATCCATCCAGTCCAGCTCCCTGTCCCCTTCCAACACTGTGAAGGAGCTGGGGAGGGAAGAAGAGCAGAGGGGCAGCATGGAAAGCTCTTTGGAGGCAACATACTCTCATGCTGAAGTAATTGTGACCACTCTGTCCTGGGGGGCTGGCTCATGCTCCCTTGGTTTGTTCCACCACATCAGTAAAAAGGACCATGTGGTACCCATACTGGTACTTAATTTTTTTTCAGCAGCTAGCTTCACATCCCTTTTATATAAAGTCAATTATTTTCCTACCTCAGATTTCTGAACCCTATTTTTTTCCTATTTAAAAAACCCTTTAGTGAAGCAATGCCCATTCTTACTCATACCACTGCAAAGTATAAGCTGCAGGTAGTGCCTGGCTTTTAAGCCCTATCAGGCCTGGCTTATGCAATGCAAGCCCATAATGGCACAGGGCAAGGCTCCAGGCTTGCTCATGTGCATTAAGGACAGACGCTCATGTGTGGCTTTGCTAAGCAGCAAGCTATCCTAGAAGCTATTCTGTGTTTATATATATAGCACTGATAAAAAGAGGGTGCAGAAAGGCCCAACATCTAGATTTCATGAGAGTTCACATTGCTATTAACTGAGGAGAGGGTAATAAATTTTGCCTAACTCCTCAGCCTCAATTTTATCACACTTCTCTCTTGCTCCCCCTGAAATGTAGGATATTTTTCCTCATTCTTCTCCAAGGCATGATATAGTGTTATGCTACTCTTTTAAACAATTACTGGATTCCTGCTACAGATACACTTTCATTGCTTCCTTGGAAAGTAAAGCACTTCTGGGCAAAACATTCTCAGTAAATATATGATGTGGTTTGGTGTGTCCAGCAGACATTAAACTAAAACAAACATAAAACACCCAGAAATGAAATAAGCAGACTCTGAAGGAAGAACCAAAATACAAACGTATCTCTGCTTGTATTTGTACATGATTAAATTTATGAATAAAAGATAATATCTGTGTGTTTAATTGAATAAAAAATTCTGTCACACTATGACAAGCTATTTCTTGTGAGACTTTACAGAACAGCCTCTGTTTTTACAGTACTTGAAAATTTTAGTTAGGCAAAAGAGCATTAAAAAAAGGAAAATGAATCCTTGGAATATATTTGAATGACAACAACTAGTGATAAATATAAATCCAAATATGTATATAGCAATCAATTTGCACAGGACAAAACTGAATGGAGGAACAAAGTGATACACACCCTGAACTGCTGCACAGTATGTGCAGCCACTCTCAGCCACCGAGCTACAGCTGTCACCAGGCTAGTCTTAGCCTAAATTCTACCCACAAATATGGAGTTTCTGAAGAAAGAGGAAAGAAAAACGACGAAGCAAGGCAGCCACACTTGATGCTGATGGAGGGAGTTAGGTGCTGCTCAGTAAAGCAATTCTAGATTATACTAATGATGTGTTTCCTCCATTTGGGAGATTACTGTACTTTGAAATGACAGTTTTTAACCTATTTTTTCTGCTAAATGCCTACTGCTTTATTTGCCTACATGTTTGTAATGAATTGTCAAGCATAAAGAGATGTAGCTTGTTTTCACTGTACACTACCTCTGTTGGATGGTCTGTTGGCTGTGGTACCATAAGCTGGTTGTGATGCTGAAGTACAGTCTTCAAATAATCTAAAACCGTCTGGCAGGGCACTGAAGGAAATAAATTGCAAGTACTGTATATTAGCTATAGAACAACAATAGAACAACAATATTAATTTAAGCATTTTCTATGTCTGTGAGATTTATTTCAAACAGGAAATACTTCTCATTTTGATTTGTGCAGGTATTTCATTTAATAAATGTACAAGTATTGTATTTCCTATACTGAGATCTCTGAAATTACTTTTATTTTCTGCCCACTACTTTTCAAAGGGTTTTTTCCAGAGCTTGAAATTATAATTACTACAAATACAAATTAGGTCAGCAATAATGACAATAAGAAAAAAAATCTGTAAATACTGTAAAAATCCCAAACCATACAAAGGAGAAAATATTTATTGGACCTAAATAATGCATTGATTAACATGCAAATATGCTCAAATGTTTTTCAAACTACAGTCTGATTAAATATACTAAAGAGATTCAATGAATCGTATACTTTAATTTCTACTCTCTCCCTCCTCCCAAATTTGTTATAAAACTAGGTGTTAGCAAATTGCTTTACTTCTCTTTGCCCTCATCCTCCCCCTTTTCCATTCCCATCACCCTCATCCATTTCAGTAGTGGTACCAACATCCTATTCCCTTCTGTTGAGGTGATAGGTTAATTAGGGATGATTCAATTATGGGTCTCTCTTAAGCAGATGCTGCCACATCCCTGATTAACTCTGGAGTATTTTTGAAATACAGCTCTTTTCTCCTGAGCCTGAAACACCATAGGAGAATTAATCCAACATTACAACTGACTTGTGCAAGACTAAATGAGCACAGTTTTTAAGGTACCTTATGACTCACATTTTGTATGGGTTGTTTTTGTAAAGTATTCAAATTTAATCATAGCTTCAGCTCAAAACCCAAAAGAAATATTTGCATTCTTTTTTTTTTTTTTAATTACTATTTCTTGACATTTTATTATTTCTTTACACCTGAAAAAATGTGTTTTGGGCTTTATCTTAAGCTAGCAATCTGAAAGCAAGCACTGAAATATCTGAGAATGTCTGAAAGTTCGGTTTATGGGTATTTTGCCCTCTTTCCTCGGCATTCACACTAAACAGCTACTATGCCCCTGTCTAGCAAACAGGGTGCAGAACAACTTACTCTGTGCAAAACAGACCCTTTACTGTGGGATAAGAGGAGTTACATCCAGCAGTCTGCATACAGAAGTCATGCAAAGTGCCTGATATGATGAATAAATTCCTATGTTATTGCACCCCATATTGACTTCTCTGCAAAGACAACCCATCAGTGTATTTACTCCTGCTTCTGTTTTCTCATTACAGTAAGTAATCTCACTGGAGGCTATCCAAGGAAGTGTTTACCTATGTTATTCCAAGGGGATGAGGTTCAAGGGAGAAGACAGCAGGAAATTACTTAACTTGTTGTGTCCCCAGCTGATGAAGTACAGCTCTACTTTATGCTGCTGATAAAATGCCTTCTCATTACCAGTGAGAAACATGAAAGTACTAAAAGCTGGCCAAAGCTTATAAAAACTTCTATCCTCATAAAAGCAGTAATGTTTTGAGCACAATGTTGCATGGGGTTTTTTTTTAATCACTGTAGGGACTGGAGGATGCTGATCACTTCTGACTTTAAAGCCATGACACAGACAGTTTGCTTTTGGTACAAATAACCTCAGCCAGGTGCTACTTGCAAATCCAGACTTCTTGGGCTGCCATATTAACTGAAGCCTAGAAGAAACCACAAAGAGGGCATGAGGTGGAGAGTCAGAACATGAGGTGGAGAGTCAGAGCTCTAGTTTGCTGCTTCAAATTTAGTTTGCTCCCTCTAATGGCTCTGCAGATACTCTCTTTGCTGAGAAATGTTTCCTCCAAACTGTTTCCTCCTTCAGGAAATGTAACTTTGTAAGAGCCTAGGGGTTTTCAGCTGAGAAGATGAATAATCATTTAAGTCGATTAGTTTATTTATTTTGTGTATCTTTGATGTGGTCTCTACAGGGTTAACAAGATCATAGCCTCAAGGGCTGATACTCTGCATGCTTATGCAGATATTCACTATCAGGACATTGCCAACAGGGATTTGTTCTTACTGTAAGTATTGGGAGAGATACCAACATCGAGATTAACACTTGTTATGATATAGTAGAGAGGCTGTGGGGAGGCAGTAATTTTCCTGCCCATTAGGGAAGAAGTTTCCACAGCCTTTACTTTCTGAAAGTGCCAGCATCTCAGTGGACACTGGACATTCTCTGCCTGCAGAGAATGGAAGGGCAAGGTCTTTGCTAAAGAGCAAGGAGGAGGAGAGCCTACAGGGAACCTGGTGTGCCAGGGAAGGCTGGGCTGGCTAAGATGTTAACCAGGACACAGGTAGGAGGTGGCAGGTATTTGCTGTTACTGATCCAAATTTAAGACTTTGTTGTTATTCTAGGTATCTATATGTTATAACAAGTGGTTATACAGCACAGCTTGCCAGAGCTTTCTCTGCAGAGAATCCTAATTCCTAACAAACAGTTGAACAGTGACTGTGGTGGTCACGCACTGTGCCAATGTCAAAATCCAGGCTATGCTCTCTCAGCCTTAGCTGCCACACAGCACAGCGACTCCCTGGACTAAATCCTCCTTGCAACAAACAGAATCAGTGGGTAAAACAGTAGAACTCAAGCAGTCATCTCTCAGTGATGCAGTTTCTACCCACAGGAACATAAACCTTATTTCAAGTCTGCTTCAAACTGGGGTTTATAAAATTTTTTGGAAAAGAAATGGAAAATGCCTCTTATTTCTTAAATACTTAGTGGTAAAGTAATTTCTCCCTATTCTCTCTGCTAAGCCCAGCATTGACTTTCCAGAGATGCTGGGCTCCCACTGAAAGCAGAATCCCTACACCTACTTACATGTCTGTACAGCTGAGGGCCACGGGTCTTTTGGCCATGCTGTGCATCAATACTCAGGCAGAAAGTCACCGTGTCTTCCAAAAGCCTTTCTCAGTGCACATTTCCCAGGGGCTGAAACCAAGCAGAGTGATGTTCTCTGTGCCCCAATCCACAGAGATCAGCCAGGTCTGTCACCTCTCATCTCCTTCTCTCATCCCAGAGCTACCTCTGCATCGCTTGCAAGCTGTAAACTATGACTGTATGCTTACCCTTATGGATTAAAGTATTAAAAACATGGGCTGTAACAGTTTCACACACACACAAAAAAAATCCCTCCAGAAAGTCAACTGCATCATGGCAGTTTTCCCGAATTTCCTGAATACAATTATATTTGTATTTTTAAATCATATTTTGTAATATAATATTATGTAACACCCTGAATATCTGCAATACTCATCAACCAAACTTTTCATCTCATCAAAACCATAATTTGGCAAGATGTTGCCTGGTACTAATGCCATTATTCTGGTTTAGCACTCTATTAATTGAAGCTGGCATCAGCCGTGCAATTAGTTTGTCTGGGCTCAAGATCAGGCCAACAAAACAACCATCATCCAGGACATCTCACGTCCTTAAAAAAAAAAAATCAGATACTATTTCCATCTTTCAGTCTTCTGAAGCATCCAAAATATCACAAAGCATAAAGAAAAACTATGGTCAGACTTGTCTTTTTCATGTTTGGCTTAGCTGCTGAAGTGAGTTGTCCAAACCTCATGGTTTTGAAGACATGACACTTCAGTAGCAGCTGCCTAGTGCCCTTGGTAATAACTTGATGTGCTCTTTATATTACCAAAGTACAGCACTGTGAAGAGGTGCTTGGGCTTGCTGTAAATACAGCACATCTCCAGGGTACATAAAGTCTATCTCCAACCTCTCCTGCAGCATCAGACAGTCCCAGTGAGAAGGGATGGCTCACCCCCAGTTTGGCTGCTTGTCTCTCCACAGTGGCCTCAGCACCATAAACAGACAGTAAGAAATCTGGTTATTCTGTTCATTAATAAGATTTTGTGCTCTGTAGCTGACACTGGCCAGTATTCCTCTTGGTGCTCTGTAGAAGATGAATCCCTTGGCACTCAAGCTCATGTAGCTGTGACTCACCAGTGAGGAGGAGAATTGGGAAGGGTGCACATCTACATCCACCCTGCTCAGGCCAGCAGCTGTTAGCTAAGACTGGCTCAGCACTGCTCTGTGTCCTCCTTCACCTGACCTTGAGCGATGCTTCTCTCCGAGTTCATTGCAGGGCATTTCTAAATTGATGCTCGACTGTCAAAAAGATGTAACAAATGATAGGGAACGTGCTGACGAACCACAGGGCTGTGTGAATTTCTTATAACATTAATGGAGATGCCTTTGCTGCCTGAGGTTTGGACAAGTGTGCATGGCTTGGATTATTTTAGCTCATACGGTCATTTATTTCAATAATCAGCCAAAAGCCAGCGAAAGCTGCATGGACGGTCCATGAAGGCAAGTTGTTTGGGGAGTGATGAGCTGGAAAAACAGCAAGGAGCAAGGAGAGATAGGGAAGGAACTGATCTCGGTGCTCAAGAGCTTGCAAATGTAGATATTTGTGACTGGATGGTAAAATAAAACCAGTACCCATTTGTAGTGAAAGCATACAGCAGAAATCAAAAGAATTGACACAATGTGTAGGAGGGTGTTAAAGATTTCCTAAACTGACCTACATGCCAGCTGAAAACAGGGAAGGGAGAAAAATTAAAGCAAATATCCCATTACTGTAAAAATCCCTCTCAGCTGTGTTTTCCAGGCAAATAATTTAATTTCTATAAATCTGCATTTGAAAAGCCATTGTACTTTTAATTTTCTTTTGCAATAGATTTCTTCCAGAAAAAAGAATGTTTCCCTCCCATATGCCCCTGGGATGTACACCTCTGCATAAACAACAGATTAAAAGAGGTAAAACAAGGCAGCTGTGCATCTCATTTAAGTGATGCTGCCACATGCTCCTGTGGCTTTTATTTTTGTCTGTGCTCTGACTTTCCTTCTACTCATTAGAAGGAGCCTCTTCTTGTGATCTCATTCAGCAGTGAAGTCTTCCCTTTGGAAGGAACATCCTCTTTACACCCCTCTACTACACATTTCTACTG